TGCTTTTCCCTCTTATGTTCCTGTTAAACCTCCCTCCTTCCCGCTAAGTCCTGTCTTACATTCGTGCCTTTTATTTGGTTGTGCTTTATGACCCACTTACTTAGTTTGGCCAGGGGCATCTGTGTGACCATGGATTGAAACCATCCCCTGGAATATGGTCAACCCACCTCAAAGTACGGAACTGAAAACAATGACTCCCCGTCTTCAGGGACCTGTCGGTAACCAGTATTTCATCAGGGAGGAAGAGGACCCTGTCAGCCACTCCCCTGTCAGTCAACTGACAGTTGACTGGACCAGTCTTGTACAGGGCCATTGTATGTAAAAGCAGCTATGGTAAGTTCATGGTTTCAACGGGTGCACCATTCCCAGAAACTGGCATGTCGCCGTCTTTCTCCTTCTCTCACAGCACTTACGTTCCTTCTCCATGTCTTCCAAAGCTTTCACTGAGACTAAATGTCTTATTTAAGGCTGAACATTATTCTTGGCACCTTGAGGGGGGGGGGAAGAAATGATCATTAATGAAAGTTTATTTTTTAAATTCCAGCGACTTTGAATAAGCTATCCAATGTAGTGTTCCAACAATCCTGCAATGCAGGCATTAATAGCCTCATTTCACTTGTAATGAAATCGGCCTAGAGAGGCTAGTTCCTTCTATTAGTAGTTTTTGGCTGCATATCTAAGCAGGGTACTTAGATATACTTCATATGTAAAACAAGACTGAAATCCAGGAACACCCATCCAACTTCATCCCAGAACCCTTAAAATATCCACAAAATCTCCGTCCTAAAACTAACTGTGAGCACTGTTGTTGGAAGCAATGATCAATTACTCTCTTTAATGTGAGTAATATAGTTAAATATACATTATCGACTATGCTTTCTCTAAAAGGAGAAATTGACCGAGATCAGTAATTCCAAGCTTGGCAAAGCATCAGCATTTTCCGGGGGGGGGGGGGAGTGGTCACTTAAAACTATTCCCTAGGCCTCATTCTAGGGACATGGATTTAGAACCCCTGTGAGCGGTCACAGATCTCTGTAAGTACAAAGCTCACAAGGCAGGCTTCAAACACCAGGAAACATAAAAGCAACGTGAGCACTCAGATACACCAGGCATTTCCGTTCGGGTTTTCCAGATTCAGCAGCGTGCTTTGCTTCATTTCATCCTACTGGACACCCGCCAGGTAAGATGTAGGGCAGATATTACATCTTTCTTGCACGTGGGCACAAACTGTTTCAGTAGAGAAAGGAAATATGAAGTATCCTCTGGCATTTTCTCGGGGAAAGAATATCACTGAAGAAAAAAAAAATTAAACAAACAAAAACTAAAACAAAACAACAACAGAAACAGGTTTGGATACAGAGCAAAAAGCAGGGAGGGGGGGTTACACTGCACTCCCTCCCAGGGCCCCTTGTCATTGTGGAAGTGTGGGCAAAAAGAGTGAACAAGCCAGAAGTAGAGAATAGCTATGAGAAAGTATTATCTTCTGGACACAGCAGGGCAGCTGCCCGTATGAACTCATAGACACTGTGGCAGCAGTTTGAGCACAGGCCAGGCTCAAGCTCCAGCCAGAGCGAATACCAGCATGCTGAGGGGAGCTGGGCACAGTCCCACCCCAGCTGTGGAGCAAAGGGCAGTAGCTAGCAGATGGGAGGGGAAGGGACAGTTTTCTCTAAGAGGCTGGAAAGTGTCCAGTAGAAGTCCAGACATCCAAGAATATTTGGGTGGCACAAACTGGCCTTGAAGGGCTTTTTTAGAAAGGGTACAATTCTGGGTTGATCTAAGGAGTGTTGGAAGAATGAGATCAAAACACACATTGTACCAACTCTCAAAGAGCTAATGAAAATAATACAATGTGAAGGTCACCTGCTAGGCCTCCTCCTCTCTCATCTATACTGCGCATGGGTGTGGGATTGTACCCTGGAGCATGCGTAGCCTCTCAGGGCTCAAATCCCTGAAGAAAACAGACTTTCTCTCCATCAATTTCTCAGCATCCATCAAATTCCTATAATTTCTCGGAAAGGTATGGAGCTTCATGGGCCTTTCCCTCATCCATGCTGGATTGTTTTTGTACAAGTCTTGTGCCTGCAGTAGCCACCATTCATGTACAGCACATGGATTTTCAAGGGTATAATTCAGCCCACGATGCTATCCAACCAGTGCTTTCCAAGTAAGGTGAGGAGATAGATAGATAGATAGATAGATAGATAGATAGATAGATAGATAGATAGATA